ATATACATACACACACACACACACACACACACACACACACACACACACACACACACACACACACACACACACACACACACACACACACACACACACACACACACACACACACACACACACACACACACACACACACACACATATATATATATATATGATTACCAGAGAGTAAAAACATTTTCTTTTCCCATTTTGGACAGTTAAAAATAGTTTATTGGGACATTTCATATGCTGCAAAACAGTTGCAGAATGACACTGTATGTCTGTAACAAAACATTCAAAGTATTTTAAATAGCCACTTAGGAGCTAAAAATGTGCTGTCCACTTATGTGGACACTCGGGCCCTAGGAGAATATGCACCAAAACCATCTTTTGTATCAGGCTGTAAACATGTTTTAATCAGCTGTAAACTTGGCCAATTTATCATGGCAGTATTTGAACAGCTATAGTTTATGGAGCAAGCCCCCAAATGGCAGTCGATGAATTGCAGTTTCAGCTACTTCTGTACTGGCTTCACAATGGAGAGCGGGAGGTTGCCGCTTGGTCGTGACAAGTTGCTTGCAACATATTAGTTTTTTGCAATGATTACACTTAGCTTTGCCTTCATTTTCCACCACATGTAGCCTTTTGAGCACATGTTGTGGTCCATGTTACATTATAATAATGTTAAGATTATAGCTAATTCAAGGTGTTCGCCAGCACAGACGATCCTAGCAGATTGACAAGTGAAATAATAAATATTCCAGTATCTGAATAAATTTTCTATTCCCAACCCTAGTGTAAACTGAAAAATACTACTACATTTACCATATATTCATCCTGCTTATACATTCTGAATTGAGATAAACAGTTCAAGTTAGAATTATTGGACCGCCTGAATTATTAGCCCTGTATAAATGTCCCCATTTTCTGTTGAACAGAAATATTTTTTTTCAGCACATTTCTTAACATAATAATTTTAGTAACTCACCTCTAATAACTGATTTATTTTATCTCTGCCATGATGACAGTACATAATATTCGACTAGATATTTTTCAAGATACTAGTATTCAGCTTAAAGTGACATTTAAAGACTTAACTTAATCAGGTTAATTAGGCAAGTCTTTCTAAAACAATGGTTTGCTCTGTAGACAATCAAAATATATATTGTTTAAGAGGACTAATTATATAGACCTTAAAAATAATTTTAAAAAATTAAAAACTGCTTTTATTCTAGCCAAAATAAAACAAATAAGCCTTTCTCCAGAAGAAAAAATATTATAGGAAATACTGTGAAAAATTCCTTGCTCTGTTAAACATCATTTGGAAAATATATTTAAAAAAGAAAAAAAAAAATTCACTGGTGGGCTAATATTTTAGACTTCTTCTTGCCTGTCTCTTGGCCTCTCGAAGTTTGCGCTTGAGCGCAGTGACAATCCGCTGAACCTCCCAGAGTCTCTCCTCTTTGGACAAATCCTTCACACCGGCCTGCAGGTCTCTGTGCAGACGATTCAAGAGGAACTCCTGCAGAAAGACATGATAAACATCCATAAAAACACATCAAATCAATGGCGATGCACTAAAATAAATGTTTATATATTATACTAAATCCAGAAGAACATCTCAAGTGTTTTAAATGCAACGTGTGGTCATACCAAATGTAGATTTCATTTATTCACCCTTATTTACCAGGGGTCACCACAGCGAAATGAACCGGCTACTATTCCGGCATGTGTTATGCAGTGGATGACCTTCCTGCTGAAACCCAGTACTGGGAAACACCCATACACTCTCACATTCTCACACACTATGGCCAATTTAGCTTATTCAATTCACCTAGAGCGAATGTGTTTGGACTGTGGGGGAAACCAGAGCACCGGGAGGAAAACCCACGCCAACACAGGGAGATCATGCAAACTCCACACAAACATGCTTTAAAACCTTTAAACAGTACTGCAGCTTTGCAAGTTGGTCTTTTGAAGCAGCTTATGGTGCGTTCACACATGACACGGATGAAGCATCGAGCGTAAGTGATTTAAAAGTCAATGCAAAGATGCAAATAGACATCCTGCTTCGTGATTTGTGCGAACGAGGAGGCACGAATGACGCGAGTTGTGCGAGTTGAGTATTTTGCACGTTTGACGCGAATCACTCGAGTTGGAAAATCCGAACTTCAGTGGACATTCATGGCACACTAACCAATCATAAGCTTCCTCTTGTATAGGGGAGTGATTATGATGTAGTGCCTGTTGTTGGTTTCCCTAAGGGGAAATCCACCTGTTGACACCGGACAACAGCTCATCAAACTGGGGTCAGCTCAGTCTGAAGCACCGCTGCTTCCAAATCAATCAAAGCCTCCATCATCCAGGTATAGTTTCTGGAGGAGTTGATGAACTCACAGAGCTGGTGCACCTCTGAAAAGATCTAGTGGACTCGGTGCTGAAAGAATTTACACAGTTTTTCAGCCTTCCTAAAGCACATAAAGCACAGCTACTCTCTCAATAAAATCCATGTTACCAGGCAGACAAAAGCCATGCCTATGACGCGAATCCGTGTCTATTTTGAAGTGAATTTCATGCATGAATGAAGCGAGTTAACTTAAAATCTTCACGCGTCTATTTACTATTTGCGCATGCATTAAAGATGTTCTGTTCTGTTTCTTCTTGCCATTCCAGTCAGACTGGATGATTAGGCCTGTGAAGATATCTATTTTTCGTTGTACGATATATTGCACCAAAATATATTGCGATAAGTGAAGTTTATGTATAAACAAACTTCGAGAGGATCACGTGCTTATGATTGCTAGCAGCTGACCCGCATTATCTAATTCACTATGATCCAATCAGATGACTCCTAAACTACTATAAATACCCTGGGGTTTATTCCATTGCTATCTTCGTTTTGAAGAGTCCCCCCTTCCTCCCCTACTCCTCCTTCTTAGACGGGTGACACGGTGGCCCAGTGCCTAGCACTGTCGCCTCACAGCAAGGATGTCTCTGGTTCCTGGCTTTACCAAAACTAGCAGACATTTCTGTGTGGAGTTTGCACTTCTCCCCGTGCTCACGTGGGTTTCCCCCGGGTTCCCCGGTTTCCTCCCACCGCCTAAAAACATGCAATTAAGTCAATTGAACAATCCAAATTGTCAACATAGACACGCTTTTAGTTAGTAATTAATTTCAAGAGCATTCACTTGCTACAGCAGGGGAGTTCTCGAGATCTACCTGAGCTCAAACTCCCCTCCGGCCTTGCAACGGGAGGGAGCCCTGGGCTTGAGGATCTCATGAGCTCAGGGCTCTCTCCCGGGACAGCATGCCAAACAAGCTTTTATAATTAATCATCAGCTAAGTGTGAACTCTTGAAACAATGTTATTGTTATTTTAAGAGCCTTTTATACCATATTTATTTACTATATAATGCCAGAATGACACTGTAATGTCTTCACAATGCAAGTACACTCTTCCAAAGAACACATAATAGTTTATTTTTAAGAATATTTCATTTAATTATAGATAACTTAATAATATATAGAGTTGAAGTCAGAATTATTAGCCCCCCTGTTTATTTTTTTGCCCAATTTCTGTTTAAAGGAGAGAAGATTTTGTTTCAACATTTCTAAACCAATGTCAGGATAATAATCAATTTAAAAACTTTTATAAATATATATTATTAAAGGAATATAACAATAAAGTTGGTTGAAAAATGATAAAATGAGAAAGGTATGATGAAAATGTAATTAATGTCTATTTGCAGTACTATTTTTTTTTGGGGGGGGGGGTCTATGTTACAAAATGTAAGAGTACAAATGGAGTCAAACATATGTCAAAGATGACAAAAGGATAAAATATGTGTCATGTAAAAAGAAGAGATAAGTAAAAGAAGATTTATAAAAAGAAGTAATAAATGATGATGTATGTGGTAATGGGGTGGGAAAATAATAAACTTGTGCTTTATCCGTCTCCATTTTCAAACATGTAGAAATGTATTTTTGTTACTGATATTTTTGTTCGAAAATAAATCCAATAAAATCAAACATAATAGTTTTAATACCTGATTTATTTTATCTTTGCCATGATGACAGTAAATAATATTTTATTAGATATTTTTCAAGACACTTCTATACAGCTTAAAGTGACATTTAAAGGCTTAACTAGGATAATTGGGTTAACTAGGCAGGTTAGGGTGATTAGGCAAGTTATTGTATAACGATGGTTTGTTCTGTAGATTACAGAAAAAATATAAAGGTTAAAGGGGTTAATAATTTTGTCCTAAAAATGTTTTTTAAAAAATTAAAAACTGCTTTTATTCTAGCCGAAATAAAACAAATAAGACTTTCTCCAGAAGAAAAAATATCAGACATACTGTGAAAATTTCCTGGCTCTGCTAAACATCCTTTGATAAATATTTAAAAAAAGAAAAAAAAATCTGTTGTGCAGACAATAATCTCACTGTAGATATAACAATTACTGACAAAATAATGTTTGGAAATGTAAATTGATAATTTAAAATGAAATAACCAACTTCAGACCTTCTTTTGGGGGAAAATACTAGTGGCCAAAGACTTTTGCACAGTACTGTATATTGTTATATGTATCAGAGAAGAGCTGCTGTACTTTTAACCAAAATTGTTTTTGTTTGATTTTGATCCTCTTAAAATAACGTTTAGACAGCAACTGTTTATTCCCACACTGTAGCGTCACATCAGTGCTGTTTTCCCTCTTCCACAGCTGTTTTTGTTTCCAGCCTCTCTCCACAGTTTGGATCCATCTCCTGTTTTGCATGCATTTCCTTGTTATAAGGTCAAATTTGCGTTTGACACATTAAAACGGCCTTATGTAAAGCCTAAAACAAAACTTCTTTCATTATACAGGTTCCACTTCTGGGTAGGAAAAAAGAGAGAGATCTGAATATATTTAAAGACTATAATAATAAAAGCACATGGTAAATTATTTATACATAATACATCACAAGTTATATTATGATGTATAAATAATGCGCAATTTAAATGTATGTTTTTTTTTATTGTTGAAATAAACAAATAGTTTAGATTACTTGTACTGTGCAAATTGTGAAAGAAATTACCACAAAGTGTAATGACTTTCTTTTTTAAATGTATTTTTTAAATATATAAATAAGATGTTTTTCATAATCGCTGCTAGCTTCACTTTAAATTTATATGTTCAGTCTTTATTTTTATAATAAATGTTGCTTACAGTGAATGTCACAATTATTTCTATTTGTTATTCTGAAAACGGCTAAACTGAAAAGATTTGCTGTGTAGTAAAGGGAGTTAAAATAAAAGTTTACAGTTTTAAAAGTCACCATAAAATGAGAGTTATGACTGTTCTTTTTTTCCACTATTGTGACATACATCTACTTAAAACACTCCTGAAATGAGGAATAAAAAAAATGTAGGATGATTGACAAATGGATGAAGGCAGAGCAAAAATTAGACACGCCCTGATAAGCCCTGCCCCTAAATGACTGACAGTCCTGCCCTAAATGACTGATAGTCCAACCTCTAAAGGACTGATAGCCATGCCCCCTAAACAACTGATAGTCCAGCCCTAAGTGACTGGTAGCCTCGCCCTAAATGACTGATTGTCCCACCTCTAACGGATTGATAGCCCACCCTAAAGGACTGATTGCCATGCCCTAAAGGACTGATAGTCCTGCCTTAAATGACTGGTAGCCGCGCCCTAAAGGACTGACACTTCGCCCTAACGGACTGATAGTCCCACACTAAAGGACTGATCGCTCCCACTAAAGAATTAATAAATCTCACGTTAAAGGACTGATAGCCCTGCCCTAAATGACTGACAGTTCCGTCCTAAATGACTGATAGCCCCACAGTAAAGGACTGATAGCCACGTCCTAAATGACTGATAATCCCACCCTAAATGACTGATAGTCCTGCCCTAAATAACTAATAGCCACACCCTAAAGGACTGATAGCCACGCCCTAAATGACTGATAGTCCTCCTCTAAAGATTGATAGTCCCGCCCTAAAGAATTGATAATCACGCCCTAAATGACTGATAGTCCAACCCTAAATGACTGATATTCCCACCCTAAATGACTGATAGCCCCACCCTAAAGACTAATAGTCCTGCCCTAAATAACTGATAGCCATGCCCTAAAGGACTAATAGCCATGTCCTAATTGACTGATAGTCCTCCCCGAAAGGACTGATAGCCCTCCCCTAAAGACTGATAGTCCCACCCTAAATGACTGATAGTCCTCCTCTAAAGGACTGATAATCCTGCCCTAAAGAATTGATAATCACGCCCTAAATGGCTTATAGTCCCGCCCTAAAGGACTGATAGCCACACCCTTAAAGACTGATAGTCCCGCCTAAAATGACTGATAGCCCCACCCGAAAGGCATTCCATGTGACCAGAAAAAAGTAGTTTCAAAAGGGGAGATGGTTATGATATTTGATTAAATATTCTGAGGGCAAATTTTCACAAAATAATAAAAGTACACAGATACTATGTTTATAACAAGCACTACAACATATATATAAAATAAGAAGAGTACATTTTGATTGTATTGGGACTTTGGCATTATTTTACAGCATGCTTCACATAACTTCTTAATAAAATTATAAAACACAACTCTAACATAAATGCATCTTGTTTTCTTTTACTCTTAACAATGCTTCTTTCAGTCGCCAGCGTGGTATTTAAATATAAATCAGTCTGACCTGTCTGCGGATCTCCTCTTTAATGCTCTCCTGAGTATCCGGCAGGGTGGGCATGGTGGCCATATTGGACCAGCGAAGAGGATGAACGACCGGCTTCAGAAACACATCACCAAACATCTCCCGGACGTGAGTGAAAAACACGTACAGCACACGATTACTGATCTACAGACCGGAAGAGACAGAGAGTAAAGGGATGATTTCGAGTCATAAAGGAATATTCAGCCATGTTGAACCTTAAAAAGCACAGAACCATTGTTTAATTGAGATAAATGAATGGTGTTATTGTCCAATCATGCCCACTTAAGTTCTCCACTAGGGCTACACAATATATCACAAAAGTTTTGTTATCGCGATAAAAGTATATGCAATATATGTATCGTACCATGTGATAAATGATATTTTATTTTATGTGTTGATTGTTTATCTAAATTTGACCAATCAGATGGGGGCATTACTATCTTTATCCCCACCTCCCCAGTAGCTGATGTTTTGTTATTGGCTGGAGCGACCCAAAGGTTAACCTAAAGTCCGCCCTACATGATGTTTATTTTATGTATTAGTTGTTTATCTAAATTTGACCAATCAAATAAGGGCATTAATATCTTAATCCCCGCCTCCCAAGTAGCTGATGTTCTGCTATTGGCTGGAGCGACCCAAAGGTGAGCCTAAAGTCTCACCCTAAACAATGTTTATTTTATATATTAGTTGTTTATCTAAATTTGACTAATCAGATGGGGGTATTACTATATTAATCCCCGCCTCCCCAGTAGCTGATGTTCTGCTATTGGCTAAAGCGACCCGAAGGTTAACCTAAAGTTCCGCCCTATATGATGTTTATTTTATGTATTACTTGTTTATCTAAATTTGACCAATCAGATGGGGGCATTACTATCTTTATCCCCGCCTCCCCAGTAGCTGATGTTCTGCTATTGGCTGGAGCGACCCAAAGGTTAACCTAAAGTTCCGCCCTATATGATGTTTATTTTATGTATTACTTGTTTATCTAAATTTGACCAATCAGATGGGGGCATTACTATCTTTATCCCCGCCTCCCCAGTAGCTGATGTTCTGCTATTGGCTGGAGCGACCCAAAGGTTAACCCAGAGCTGAAAATAAACCCTTATGGGCAGAGTTGAGATGAGAGAGGAAAATGACAACAACCAATCAGAGAATATCTGTTGAGGTTTTCACTCATTCATAGTGTTTTAGAGACTAAATGTTTGCACCTTGACACAGATTTTTAGTCTGAATTAGAACTAAAAACAGAGATTTTACCAGTGTATTTTAATATCATTAAATAAATAAAATTATTTTAAAACATTGCTGATAAAAAAGCATTTGTCTAGAGAAATGTTTATATCACAATAAATATTATCGCAATGCTCAACAACAATATTGCATATTTTTCAAGTATCATGCAGCCCTTTTCTCCACATTATTTGCAGTCCAACTCGCTCCAAAAAAACTGACCCCAAACAAAGCACTCATTATCATCAGTATGAGGGCGCCTCCATCCTCCATGTGTCCTGAGAGACTGTAAAGTAGGACAACCTTCAGTCTAAGCAGAAACACATCCTGCTACGCCATTAACATTTCACTACGCCATACTTCACCTTACAGTGTACTACACTTCATTTTCACCACACCCTGATGAAGCGTGTTGCATATTTACAAAATATTTAATATGGAGGGAGAAAATAATGTGAAAGTGAAAAATGATGATGTTAAATTTATATAAAACTGTGCGTAAACTATATATATTTGCTCAGCTAATAGTAATTTGTTTTAATGTGAGATGTGAAATGTGTGCAACAAACGTTTGTTTTGCTTTTTTAAAATAAAAAACCTTGCTAAAAATGCTTAAAAAATGTATTTAAAATTAATTTAAAATACAAACTTAATGTAATATAATTAGACTTGAATTTTATTAAACACACCATCTTTTATTATTATTATTTTTTTTTTTTTTTACATTTTTTAAAATACATTTTAAATGAAATTCCAATAATTACACAGCATGGTGTAAAGAAGAACATTTTAGTGTGTGAAGCAAGAAACAGAAACATGTTTCCTTTTTTTTATTAAAAGTGATAACAACTAGATAAAAACTAGTCTTGCTAACTTTTGGAAAACACACACAAAAAAAGCTATAAAATTAAGAATTTATTGATAAAAATGTATAAAATTAATCTGATTTTATCTAAAAATTCCCCTTCTATTAACTTAAACAATATTTTGATATAAATATTCAATGCCATTTTTTATATATTTCAGTTAATTATAAATACTATTTTTCAATAAAATATTTTATAATTTTTTTAAATTGTAAATTTATCTAAAAAACATTTTTTAAATTATATCTATTTTACATTCTCTTTTATTTCTATTTCATATATTCCGTGTCTAAAATAATTGCACATTTCTTCATATCAAGTACTTTTTTTTGTCTATTTTGTTTTGTTCATTTGCCTAATTTATAAAGCATTCTATTCTATTTTACCCTATCATATTCTATTCTACCCTATTCTATTCTATTCTATTCTATTCTATTCTACCCTATCATATTCTATTCTACCCTATTCTATTCTATTCTATTCTACCTTGTCATATTCTATTCTACCCTATTATATTCTATTCTATTCTACCCTGTCATATTCTATTCTATTCTATTCTATTCTATTCTATTCTATTCTATTCTATTCTATTCTATTCTATTCTATTCTATTCTACCCTGTCATATTCTTTTCTACCCTATTCATTTCTATTCTATCCTGTCATATTCTATTCTACCCTATTCTTTTCTATTCTATTATATTCTGTTCTATTCTATTCTATTCTATTCTTTCCTGTTCTGTCCTATTATAAATCTATACTATTCTACTCTTTCCTGTCATATTCAGTCTACCTATTCCATTTTATTAAATTCCGTTCAATTCTATTCCATCCTGTCCTATTATTTTTTGTTCAATTATGTCCTAATCCATTATATTCTATTCTGTCATATTATTTTCTGATCTATTCTATTCTACTCTGTCCTGTCCTATTATATTCCTTTCTGTCCTATTATATTTTATTATATTACCCAGTTCTGTCATATTCTATTCTGTCCTGTCATATTCCATTCTGTTCTATCCTGTTCTGTTTTGTCTCGTCCTCTTCTATTCTGTTCTATTCTATTCTATCCTATTCTTTTCTGTCCTGTTCCGTACTATTCTAATCTATTCTATCCTGTTCAATTTTGTCCTTTCCTTCTCTATTCTGTTCTATTTTGTCTTGTCCTCTTCTATTATATTCTACTCTGTACTATTCTGTTTGATTCTGTCCTGTCCTATTCTATTAATATCTGTCCTATTATATTCTACTCTGTCCTGTCCTATCCTATTCTAATCTCTTCTATCCTGTTCTGTGTTGTACTGTCCTGTCCCCTTCTATTCTATTCTATTCTATTCTATTCTATTCTGTCCTATTCTATCCTGTCCTATTCTATTTGATTCTATTCTTTCCTATTCTTTTTATTTTTGCTCTGTTCTATTCTATTCTATTCTATTCTATTCTATTCTGTCATATTCTATTCTATTCTATTCTGTTGTACCGTCATATTCTATTCTATTCTGTTCTATTCTATTCTATTCTATTCTATTCTATTCTATTCTATTCTATTCTATTCTGTTATATTGATAATAATTGTTTACAAACTTAAATACAAAAATCCTTTACTTTAAATAAATTAATTAATTTGTTTCCTTATAAAAACATATTCAACTGAAAATACTGTAGAAGACCTCAACCCAAAACCAGAGGTCCAAGAGGACGGGCTCACCTGTATGGTGGGATTGAGCACAATAGAGATGTTCTGAATGTTCATCTTTGTGTCGGCCTCGCGGGCGATGACGTGGTCCATGTGTGTGATCAGCCAGGCCAGGAGGAGTCTGCTGCCCGCCGGCACCTCCGTCAGGAGCCGCTGGAACTCCTGCAGCTTCTCGGCCTCGCTGGGTCTCCCGCAGGCCTCCTCGAAACGCAGAGACAGCTCCTTCCCCAGCAGATTATCAGGTAACTCTCGCAGATACTGTTTCAACAAGCTGGCCACTGTGTGCGGATCATACTCCTCCAGACATGGACACTCCTCACGGTCATACGCCGCTTTCAGCTCATCCACCTTAGACTTCATACCTGTCAGGAGTTGCAAGAATAATTAAACCATTCCATTTAACAAACACAGAATGTCATGAAAACAAATAAACAGACTCATACCGGAGACTCGATAGATGCCTTCACATTTCATGCCGTAGCTCTCGATGTAGTCCACACACTCTCTGAAAATGGCCGGCAGTTGTATCCCATCGTACAGTGCTGTCCTCCTCACCGCTTCCACTAAAGGAGCTCCGAATATCGGCCTGAACGTCACTGTCACCTCTGTGATAACGGGTTCGGGTTCAGTGCTTGGCTTTTTCTTCTTTTTCTTCTCTTTCCACTGTTTGACCACATCTGCAGCCGTCAGGTCTTTGGACTTCTTGTCTTTGGCCTTCTCCTCTTTAGGGCCCTTCTCCTTCACCTTGAAGTCCTTTTCTTTCTTCTTGGAGAAACTGGGCTTCTTGAAGACGTGGATGCCCTTGGAGCGCTTCATTTTAGACGGGCTCTCCGCATCGTCGGCTGAACTGTCCTCCTGAAAAGCGGCGTATCCCTCAGCTAAAAAAAAAAAAAACAGATGAAGAGATTCAATTAGATGAGGAAAAAAACAAAGGATGAGACTAGTAGAGACAAACAGTGAATAAGAGAGTAGAAGAGAAGAGACTAGGAGACAAAAAGTGAAGAGATGGAGACAAGAAAAAAAAGTAACAAAAAAAGAAGAGACCAAATGAGACGAAGTTAATAAGACAAAAAGAGAAGAGATGAGAAGAGACAAAAGTGAAGAAGAGACTAAGAGAGAAGAGAGACGAGAAGAGATGGAGCCCAAAAGAGATTAAAAGAAAAGAGACAAAAAAAGAGATGAGACAATGTGAATAGACAAAAAAATTAGATGAGACAAAACGAAATCTGAATAAGAGACAAAGAGACCAAATGGAGACAAAAACAGATGAAAAGAAAGAAAAAGAGAAGAGACAAGACAAGATGAGACAAAAAGTGAATAAGAGACAAGAAGAGATGAGATAAAGAGATAAGAAGAGATGAGAAGAGACCACGTTCATAAGAGACAAAAAGAGAAGAGACAAAGTCAAGAGATGAAAAAAAAACAAAGACAAGACAAAAAGTGAATTAGAGGCAATAAGAGAAAAAAGAGAAAAGAATGAAACGAGATGGAGACAAAAAGAGATGAAATGAAGACAAAAATAAAAAGGAGACAACAAGAAAAGAGACGAAAAGTGAAGAAGAGACAAGAAGAGGCCAAAGATGACAAAAGACAAAAGGATAAGAGAACAGAGGAGAAGAGAGATAAAAGTGGAGATGGAGATGAAAAAAAAGAGATGAAAGAGACAAAAAGAGAAGAGACAAAAGCGAGAAGCGAAGATTGGGATAAAACAAACAGAAAATAGACTAAAAGAGAAAAGAAAAAAGAAAAGAAGAGAGAAAGATAAGTAAAATTAACTAAAAAGAGAAGAGCCAAGAGTCAAAAAGAAAAGAGATGAAGAGAAGAAACAAGAACATAAGAAAAGAGACAAAAAAGGCAAGAATGAAAAGAGACAATGAACAGACAAAAAACAAAGACAAAAAAAGAAGAGACAAAAAAAGAGAAGAGACAAAAACCAAGGAGATGAAATAGAAAAGAGGAAACAAGAAGACATGAAAAGAGAAGAGACCAAAAGATAAGATATAAGAGGGTAAAAGTGAAGAAGAGACTAAGAGAGAAGAGAGACGAGAAGAGATGAAGCCCAAAAGAGATTAAAACAAAAGAGACAAAAAGAAAAGAGATGAGACAAAGTGAATAGATAAAAAATGAGATGAGACAAAACTAAATCTGAATAAGAAACAAAAAGAGAAGAGATGCAAATAGATAAGAAGAGATGGAGACCAAAACAGATGAAAAGAAGAGACAAAAAGAGAAGAGACAAGACGAGATGAGACAGAAAGTAAATAAGAGACAATAAGAGATGAGACAAAGAGATAAGAAGAGATGAGAAGAGACAACGTTCATAAGATACAAAAAGAGTAGAGACAAAGTGAACAGATGGGAAAAAAAAGACAAGACAAAAAGTGAATTAGAGGCAATAAGAGAAAGAGAAAAGAATGAAACGAGATGGAGACAAAAAGAGATAAAATGAAAAGACAAAAATAAAAAGAAGAGACAACTAGAAAAAGAGACGACTAGAAGAAGAGGCCAATGATGACAAAAGACAAAAGGATAAGAGAATAGAGAAGAAGAGAGATAAAAGTGGAGATGGAGATGAAAAAAGGGATGAAAGAGACAAATAGAGAAGAGACAAAAGCGAGAAGAAGCGAAGTTTGAGATAAAACAAACAGAAAATTGACTAAAAGAGAAAAGAAAACAAGAAGAGAGAAAAATAAGTAGAAGTAACTAAAAAGAAAAGAGAAGAGCCAAGAGTCAAAAAGAAAAGAGATAAAGAGAAGAAACAAGAACATAAGAAAAGAGACAAAAAGGCAAGAATGAAAAGAGACTAGAAGAAATGAAGAGACAAAAAAGAGAAGAGACAAAAACAAAGGAGATGAAATAGAAAAGAGGAAACAAGAAGACATGAAAAGAGAAGAGACCAAAAGATAAGATATAAGAGGGTAAAAGTGAAGAGAAGAAATCAAAATAGACAAAAAGGAAGGAGAAAAGACCAAAAAAAAAGAGAAGAGCCAAATAGAAAACAGAAGAGATGAAAATAGAAATTAAGAGAAGAGTAGAGGGACATTCTGGTTACAATAGTTGAAATTAAAAAGAAAAGAAAAGAAAAATCCCACTTCCAAAAAAAAGTAAAAAGATGGAGAAAAAAGAGATGAAGGGATGAAGAGACAAAAAGCAAAGAGAGAACAGACAAAAAAGAGACAAGAAGAGAAGAGACCAAAAATGACAAGAGACAAAAAAGAGAAGGGCAGAAAAGAGAGTAGAGGAAAGAAAAAGTAAAGAGATGGAGAGAAAAAGAGGTGAAAAGGAAATAGACAAAAATAAGACAAATAGTGAATAAGAGGAAAAAAAGTAGAGACCAAAAAAAGAAAAGATATAAATAGAGACAAGAAAAGAAGAGACAAAAAAAGAGACAAAAATAGAGATGAAAAGAGAAAACATGAGAAGATGAAAAGACAGAAGAGAAGACAAGAGCCCAAGAAAAGAAGAGATGAAAAGAGAAGAGAAAACAAAAAAGTGAAGATGAAGAGAAGAGATTAATAGACAAAAATCTACGAGAGAAAAAAAAATCAAAGAGAAAAGAGCAAAAAAAGAGAAGAACAAAAACAAAAAACAATAGAAATGAAAAGGGACAATAAGAAGAGTAGAGGCAAATCCTGCTTCCAATACCTTGGGCTAAAAGAAAAGAAAAAAAGACAAAAGAAAAAAAGACAAATCCCGCTTCCAAAAAATAAGAAATGAAAAAGACAAGTGACAAAAAAAGAGGAGACAAGAGGACACAAGATGAGAACAGACAACAAGAGATAAGAGAAAAAGTAAATAAGAGACAAAAAAGCAAGACAAGAAGAGATGGAGACAAAAAGAGATGAAGAGACAAAAAGAAAAAAGAAAAGGCAAAAAAGAAGATACAAAAAGAAAACAGAAGAGATGAACAGCTGAAAAAAGATGTGACGAAAAATAAGAAGAGATAAAAAAAGAGACAGGAAGAGAAGAGATGAAGACAAAAAGAGATGAAGAGACAAAGAGAAGAGACGAAAAGTGAACAAGAGACAAAAAAAGAAGAGACAAGAAGAAATCAGATGAAAAGAGACAGTCAATAAGAGACAAAAAAAGAAGACACGAGATGAGACAAAGGAAAGAAAGAAGAGACAAGAAAGAAAAGACAAGATGAGAAGACACCAGAAATGACAAGAGACAAAGAAGAGAAGAGAATCTAAGAGACAGGATGAAAAGACAAAAAGAGAAGAGATAACAAGAAGAGACCAAAAGTGAATAAGAGACAAAAAGAGAAGTGCTGAGAAGAGACAGAAAACAAGATGATGCCAATAAGAGACAAAAAGAAAAGAAGAGACAAGAAAAGATACGTGAAGAGAAGAGAAGAGACGAGAAGAGACAAGAAGAGAAGAGACGTGAAGAGAAGACACAAGAAGAGAAGAGACGAGACGTGAAGAGACGTGAAGAGACAAGAAGAGAAGAGACGTGAAGAGAAGACACAAGAAGAGAAGAGACGAGACGTGAAGAGACGTGAAGAGACAAAAAGTGAAGAGTTGGACAAGAGATAAAAAGACTATAGACAAAAGGAAGAAATAAGAGACAAAAAGAAAAGAAAGGAAAAAAAGAAGAAAAGACAAAAGAAAAGAAAAAAAGAGAAAAAAAAGAAGAGCCAAATCCCGCTTCCAATACCTGCTGCTCAAAAGAAAACGTCCTACCAAACAACTGAGCACAACTGACTGTCCCGCGTCTGCCTCTCTCAAGGTTAGTGAGACTGAAACCAGCAGAACGAAACGAGAGCAAGACACAGAAAAACTGCTGTAAAGAGGTCAGCCTACAATTTAGAAATGTCCCCCTGTGCCGGCTCTTTTTTTAGTCACCCGTTCCCCCAATCCTGACTCCAGCAGTGCTCAGGCAGTCTCTAGCAGGCTTCTGACCCCATCAGTCAGTACAGCTCCTCAGTCACTATAACACACACCTACAGGAGTGGACAGGGTGTGTCCCCAAACGCTCCATCACTTCCTGCTGCTGTGCTATAGGCTGCTGCGGGACGGCTAAATATAGAGGCAGGGAAATCAACAATTCACTCTGAAGCTGCACTGAAACTGGAACATTTGCAAATTAAGCGTAGACGCCTGTGCTATTAAACTATGTACAGTTAAAGTCAGAATTATTAACCCTCTTGAATTATTAGCCCTTCTGAATATTTTTTGTTTAACAGAAAGATTTCTTTCAACACATTTCTAAACATAATAGATTTAATAATTCATTTCTAATAACTGATTTAATTTATCTTTGCCATGATGACAGTAAATAATATTCGACTAGATATTCCTCAAGACACTAGTATTCAGCTTAAAGTGACATTTAGATCCAATGCCATTTCTATTTTTGTACACCTTTCCTTTCCCCTTGGCCCTTAAAACAGAGTATGAAGGGGAAGGGCTACAAAATTTACCCCTAAGAATTTTTTTTGTTTAGTTTTTTTAGTTTAGTTTATTTGTTTACAGGGTCAATGCACATTAATAAACATTACTGTAAAATGTGCCAGAATTAGCCAAGAATGGCTATTTTTCATCCGTAGACCCTTTACAGAATGTTAAAAAGTCACACCTAAAATAGAAGCACAACATTAAACATTAAATACACTTTCATAAGAAATACAGTTAAAAAAGTAAAGAAAAGAAAAAAAGAAAAAAAAAGAACAGACTGATGGCAGCAGAGGACATAAAGCCAAAGACAACAGTACAAATGTGTCAAGAATACAGTACTAATGCTGACAATGCTGATTTGTCAATAACCAATTTCTAACATGAGACTGAAAAGAACGAAAAGTGCTTGATCTTCTAATTGTGGGTGGGATGGAGTTCCATTCCCTAGCAGCTCTCACTGAAAATACAGATTGACTGAATTTGCTTTTTTTGAGAGGAATAATGCAGTCTCCTCTGTCACCTCCTCTAGTAGTTCGTTGAGCAGTCGTTCTAATATTTATAAACTGATTTAATGGTGAAGTCGGGTTATGTAAAGTCTTAAACATTAAACAGATATGTACATATGTAATTAAATTTTCCCAACTAAGCAGGTTGTATTTCTTTAATATTAAACAATGGTGATATTGAACTGATTTCTTATTAAGGGTTTTTATGGATTGTTTGTATAAAGATTTAAGTGGCTTCAGAGTAGTGATGCTGGCTTGGGACCAAGTGGTTAAACAATAAGTGATGTGAGAAATGATCATGGAGTGATAATAGATTAGAGCAGCCTCACATGACATCTGATCACGAATAAATCTAAAATTTGCTAAACTGAATCTGACCCGATTACAAACCTTTTTAACCTGAGACTGAAATGATAGTTTTGAATCAATTAAAACTCCAAGGTACTTGTACTCAGATACAACTTGTAATCTTTCCCCTGATACAAATACATCTGGTACTACACTTAGCCTACCATTCTTAGAAAAAAACATACACACGGTTTTAGAGATGTTCAACTGTAAACAGCATTGATCTAACCAGGCTGAAAGATTTACCAGTGATTCTGTGAGTCTGTCTGCAACTTGTAACACACTACTACCATGAATAAATATAACAGTGTCATCCGCATACATCTGTATGTTATTGTTAGGACACATAGATGGGAGATCATTGATATATAAAGTAAAAAGTAAAGGGCCCAAAATATATCCTTGTGGAACACCTGTGGATATACCTAGAGTGGCAGATTTGTAATTTTGTATATTAACACACTGTGTGCGACCAGACAAGTAAGATTCTATCCATTTTAAAGTTTGTGGTGAGAAGTTAAAACCAACTAATTTGGACATGAGAATTCTATGATTTACAGTATCAAAAGCCTTCCTAAAATCAAGAAACACAGCCCCAACGATACCCCCCTTATCTAATAAAGACTTTACTTTTTCAGTAAAGTAGCAATTTGCCATCTCACTTGAGTAGTTCTCTCTGAAGCCAAACTGCAATGGATGTAAAGCAAAAGAACTATTATTTAAGTAATTTGTAATTTGTGTGGCTATCAGTTTTTCTGCAATCTTTGAAACTATAGGTAAAATACTGATAGGTCTGTAATTACTTGAAGAGTGTGGATCGCCACTTTTAAATATAGGCACAATGACAGATGATTTCCAAGCACTGGGGAACATCCCCTGAGAAATGGACAGATTAATAATTTTGGTGATCGGCTTTACTAAAGACTCACTAATGTTTTTTAAAAGTATCACATCCATCCCAAATATATCTTTTGCTCTGGATGATTTAAGAGATGTAATTGGGACAGCACTACAGCACCTGCACACGTCATCATATGTCATTGTAAGCTCTTGCTTTATATGAGATCAGGCGATGGCGACTGCTGTAGTTATTACAGCTGTGTTATTTTTTGGTATTTATCTTCAGGAAATCACTGAAGGCATATATAATGTTATCATAACGCTATAATGTGGCAATAAGCTCGTAACTGTACTGTGTATTACACAGTGGCCATATTCATCCATGTAAACACACAAAAACAACATTAACATTATAGCAGACACTGTAAAAAGCTCAATACCAGCCACTAGACTTTTCTGACAGGGTATTCGAGTGTAATGTAATGTAATGTAATGTAATGTAATGTAATGTAATGTGTGTATTTATATAGCGCATTTATTGTGTATGGCCATACACCAAAGCGCTTCACAATCATGAGGGGGGTCTCTCCACACCACCACCAGTGTGCAGCATCCAATTTGGATGATGCGACGGCTGCCACAGGACAACGGCGCCAGTGCGCTCACCACACACCAGCTATTGGTGGAGTGAAGTGACAGTGATAGAGCCAATTCGGTGAAAGGGGATGATTGGGATGCCTTGATCGTAAGGGCCGATAGAGGGACTTTGGCCAGGACACCGGGGTTACACCCCTGCTCTTTCACGAGAAGTGCCATGGGATTTTTAATGACCACAGAGAGTCAGGACCTCGGTTTAACTTCTCATCCGAAAGACGGCGCTCACTGACAGTGTAGTGTCCAGTTCACTTTTACTGGGGCATTAGGAGTCACACAGACCACAGGTTGAGCGCCCCCTGCTGGCCTCACTAACACCACTTCCAACAGCAACCTAGTGTTTCCTAGTGGTCTCCCATCCAGGTACTGACCAGACTCAGCCCTGCTTAGCTTCAGTGAGTAACCGGTCTTGGGCTGCAGGGTGTCATGGCTGAGTGTCATCGAGTGTCAGAATGTTGTGGGACTGCTGTACAGGAGTTATTATTAGGGATTATAGATAGAGAAATTTAGCGTTTTTTATTTTAAGATTTGTTTAAGTATAACGGTAAAACACAAATGCAGTTATAAATGTATTAGATCATGTGCTTGTTTGTTGTAAAACTTCGTAATAATGACAAAAAAAAACTAATTTCTGCATCTCCTGACTTCCAGGTGCAGCTATGAAAAGCCAGTTAGACCCAGTCCCAATTCTCACCCTTAAGGCTGATTTATACTTCTGCGTCAAACACCGGCGTAGGCTACGGCGCTGACGCATAGCCCTTCGCCGTGGTCATCGCCGTCACGGACGTGCACCTCTCAAAAATTGTAACTACACGTCGCAACAACGCGTAGCGCAAGCTCTGTGATTGGTCGGCTTGCTAGCGCCGACGAGTCTGGGCGGGACCGAAAGCCTGCGCGAATGGCGCGAGCGATTGTTTACAAGTGTGGAGTCCCGTGATGGAGCTCCGGATGGAAAGTTTTGTTCTGTGTTTACCTCATGGTTAAAGTTGTTGCACGCATTCGAAACCAAAGGGTTGGAAATTTACCAGAATACACCAGACACAACGGCAGCATGTCTGCACACCGAAGTAAGGGGCCACAAATTACAATTTTTTGTCATTATTACTATTTTTTATAACAAACAAGCACATGTTTTAACATTTTCATAACCATGTTCGTCTTTTACCGTTGAGATTTAAAAAAAAAAAAAAAAAAAACTGGTAAATTCTGATATCTAGACTAGTACCAGGTTGGACCCCCTTTTGCCTTCAAAACTGCCTTAATCTTTCTTGACATAGATTCAATAAGGTACTGGAAATATTCCTTAGAGATTTTGCTCCATATTGACAAGATAGCATCACACAGTTGCAGCTGATTTGTTGGCTGCACATCCATGATGCAAATCTCTCATTCCACTACATCCCAAAGGTGCTCTGTTGGATTGAGCTCTGGTGACTGTGGAGGCCTTTTGAGTACAGTGAACTCCTTGTCATGTTCAATAAACCAGTCAGATGATTTACGCTTTATGACATGGTGCGTTATCCTGCTGGAAGTAGCCATCAGAAGATATGTACACTGTGGTCATAAAGGGATGGACATGGTCTGCAACAATACTCAGGTAGGCTGTGGCGCTGACATGATGCTCAATTGGTACTAATGGACCAAAATTGTGCCAGGAAAATATCCCCCACACCATTACACCACCACTAACAGCCTGAACCATGGATAGAAGGCGGGATGGATTCATGATTTCATGTTGTTGATGCCACATTCTGACCCTACCATCCAAATGTTGCAGCAGAAATCAAGATTCATCAGACGAGGCAACGTTTTTCCAATCTTCTATTGTCTAATTCTGGTCAGCCTGTGCAAATTGTAGCCTCAGTTTCCTGTTCTTAGCTGACAGGAGTGGCACCCGGTGTGGTCTTCTGCTGCTGTAGTCCATCTGCCTCAAGGTTGGATGTGTTGTGTGTTCAGTGATGCTCTTCTGCAAAACTCGGTTGTAACGAGAGGTTATTGGAGTTATTGTTGATTTCTATCAGCTGGAACCAGTCTGGCCATTCTCCTCTGACCTCTACTATCAACAAGGCATTTGCTTCCACAGAACTGCCGCTCACTAGATATTTTCTCTTTTCAGATTATTCTCTGTAAACCCTAGAGATGG